TTAAAATTTTATTGACCAATATTTGTTCAAAACTCTTTCCAATTTTCAAGACGAATACAATATAAAAATCGCACCACCAAGATTTTATAACAAATCAACATAAAATTCAAATTTCATACCTATACAAATGAAATTCATTTAACTTATTTCGTTTTTAAAATTTCAAATACATTTTTTATATATAATTATTTATATTTAAACATCTCACTGTGGAAATAAAAAAAAATAAAATATAAAAAAACAATTATACATTATTTGTTTGAATATGATGAGTCTCCACTATGATATTTAATAAAAATTAATTATATGCATTGTCATATGATTTACTTAGTATAATTTTGTTTTTCCGTAAGAGGAAACATAATATGAAATTGTTATATTCCATAAATTATTTTATATGAATGATCCATATATATGGATCTTTTACCAAATATATATGGTTCTTGGTTATATAAATATAGAAATGAATTAGTGTTATTGGAAAATATTTTGAATTTTCGAAATTCAAACTCAACTAAAAGCTTGATTTTTTTTTTAAAAAAAAAATCAGTAATTTCCAAATTATTCCAGCAATCAAACTACTGCGCTAACGCGCAACGGCTTTCGCGCGTCTAAACCCCAGGCCAGTAAAGCACTTAAGGTTAAGGCAAGGAATTGGTTTAGCACGGGGATAGCATTCAGTTAGAAAGGAGAGACATAATTGACTGCACTCGGTAGCTACGCCACCCACAGAATTTAAAGAACCTAAAGGGGCATGGGTCGTATATTCTGCGGACAAGACAAGACGCCGGACACCAAGGGAGACGAAAGACTAGTCCCATCTCTAAACTGATTATCGTATCTCTTTGAATAAATAAAATGAAGAACCTAATGGTTTTCTGCTCTGGCTGCTATCTGCTGTCTGAGAATAGAAGATTAAAAGAAAAGTAACCAGCCCACGGAGGCTTCATCCGTTCAAAAGATGGGCATGGAGTATTTAGGCGAAAAGTTAATTACTATTTTAATTAAATTATTTACCTTGTTATATAATAATAAATAAATAGATAAATTAATAGATATAGATATATTATAACATTCAACTAACTAATGTGTTCGTAATAATTAAAGACTCAACAAAGTACAATGAGCACGGAATAACCCAAATTTCCTTAAGAAATCCCCAAAGCAAAACGACAAACCAAAAAACGCGTCGTCTATTTCTCATATGAACTCAACTTATTGTCATTAATCTTATATGTACAGAACATTTAGAAAAGTAGAATAGAATGAATCGCTTCATCTATTTCATTGTAGATCATCACATACATGTTGCGATAGGCTTAAGCTTACCCAATTCTCTATACTCAACCTTAAATTGGAAAACACCATAGACATCTTGAACCTTGAAAGATGTATAATCAAGGCCCTGCAGGGAATGAAATATAAAGTATTTAAGAAAGAAGGTATGTCCAAAATGCCGGAAC